AAAGATCAGATCAGAAATAAATGAAAAAGAAATGAGGAAACAATAGCAAACATCAGTAAAACTAAAAGCTGGTTCTTTGAGAAGATAAAGAAAATTGATAAACCAGTAGCCAGACTCATCAAGAATAAAAGGGAGAAGACTCAAATCAAGAATTAGAAATGAAAAAGGAGAAGTAACAACTGACAGTGCAGAAATACAAAGGATCATGCGAGATTACTACAAGCAACTGTATGCCAATAAAATGGACAGCCTGGAAGAAATAGACAAATTCTTAGAAAAGCACAACCTTCCAAGACTGAACCAGGAAGAAATAGAAACTATAAACAGACCAATCACAAGCACTGAAATTGAAACTGTGATTAAACATCTTCCAACAAACAAAACCCCAGGACCAGGTGGCTTCACAGGCGAATTCTATCAAACATTTACAGAAGAGCTAACACCTATCCTTCTCAAACTCTTCCGAAATATAGCACAGGGAGGAACACTCCCAAACTCATTCTATAAGGCCTCCATCACCCTGATACCAAAACCAAAGATGTCACAAAGAAAGAAAATTACAGGCCAATATCTCTGATGAACATAGATGAAAAATCCTCAACAAAATACTAGCAAACAGAATCCAACAGCACATTAAAAGGATCATACACCATGATCAAGTGAGGTTTATCCCAGGAATGCAAGGATTCTTCAGTGTACACAAATCAATCAACGTGATACACCATATTAACAAATTGAAGGAGAAAAACCATATGATCATCTCAAAAGATGCAGAGAAAGCTTTCGAGAAAATTCAACACCCATTTATGATAAAAACCCTGCAGAAAGCAGGCATAGAGGGAACTTTCCTCAACATAATAAAAGCCATATATGACAAACCCACAGCCAACATCATCCTCAATGGTGAAAAACTGAAAGCATTTCCACTAAGATGAGGAACAAGACAAGGTTGCCCACTCTCACCACTCTTATTCAACATAGTTTTGGAAGTTTAAGCCACAGCAGTCAGAGAAGAAAAAGAAATAAAAGGAATCCAAATCGGAAAAGAAGTAAAGCTCTCACTGTTTGCAGATGACATGATACTATACGTAGAGAATCCTAAAGATGCTACCAGAAAACTACTAGAGCTAATCAATGAATTTGGTAAAGTAGCAGGACACAAAATTAATGCACAGAAATCTCTTGCATTCCTGTATACTAATGATGAAAAATCTGAAAGTGAAATTAAGAAAACACTCCCATTTACCGTTGCAACAAAAAGAATAAAATATCTAGGAATAAACCTACCTAAGGAGACAAAAGACCTGTATGCAGAAAATTATAAGACACTGGTGAAAGAAATTAAAGGTGATGCAAACAGATGGAGAGATATACCATGTTCTTGGATTGGAAGAATCAACATCATGAAAATGACTCTACTACCCAAAGCGATCTACAGATTCAATGCAATCCCTATCAAACTACCACTGGCGTTTTTCACAGAACTAGAACAAAAAATTTCACAATTTGTATGGAAATACAAAGGACCCAGAGTAGCCAAAGCAATCTTAATAAAGAAAAACAGAGCTGGAGGCTCCCTGACTTCAGACTATACTACAAAGCTACAGTAATCAAGACAGTATGGTACTGGCACAAAAACAGAAATAGAGATCAATGGAACAGGATAGAAAGGCCAGAGATAAACCCACACATATAAGGTCACCTTATCTTTGATAAAGGAAGCAAGAATATATAGTGGAGAAAAGACAGCCTCTTCAGTAAGTGATGCTGGGAAAACTGGACACCTACGTGTAAAAGAATGACAGTAGACACTCCCTAACACCGTACACAAAAATAAACTCAAAATGAATTAAAGTCCTAAATATATGGCCAGACACTATAAAACTCTTAGAGGAAAACGTAGGCAGGACACTCTATGATATAAATCACAGCCAGATCCTTTTTGACCCACCTCCTAGAGAAATGGAAATAAAAGCAAAAATGAACAAATGGGACCTAATGAAACTTAAAAGCTTTTGCACAGCAAAGGAAACCATAAGCAAGATGAAAAGACAACCCTCAGAACGGGAGAAAATATTTTCAAACAAAACAACTGACAAAGGATTAATCTCCAAAATATACAAGCAGCTCATGGAGCTCAATATCAAAAAAACAAACAACCCAATACAAAAATGGGCAGAAGACCTAAATAGACATTTATGTGAAGAAGATGTACAGGTTGCCAACAAACACATGAAAGGATGCTCAACATCACTAATCATTAGAGAAATGCAAATCAAAACTACAATGAGGTATCACCTCACATCAGTCAGAATGGCCATCATCAAAAAACCTACAAACAATAAATGCTGGGTGTGGAGAAAAGGGAACCCTCTTGCACCGTTGGTGGGAATGTAAATTGATACAGCCACTATGGAGAACAGTATGGACGTTCCTTAAAAAACTAAAAACAGAGCTACCATACGACCCAGCAATCCCACTACTGGGCATATACCCTGAGAAAACCATACTTCAAAAGGAGTCATGTACCAAAATATTCATTGCAGCTCTATTTACAGTAGCCAGGACATGGAAGTAAACTAAATGTCCATCGACAGATGAATGGATAAAGAAGATGTGGCACATATATACAATGGAATATTACTCCGCCATAAAAAGTAACGAAACTGAGTTATTTGTAGTGAGGTAGATGGCCCTAGAGTCTGTCATACAGAGTGAAGTAAGTCAGAAAGAGAAAAATAAATACCGTATGCCAACACATATATATGGAATCTTAAAAAAAAAAAAAAGGTCATGAGGAACCTAGGGGCAAGAAAGGAATAAAGACACAGACGTACTAGAGAATAGACTTGAGGATATGGGGAGGGGGAAGGGTAAGCTGAGACAAAGCGAGAGAGTGGAATGGACATATGTACACTGTCAAACGTAATATAGATAGGTAGTGGGAAGCAGCCGCATAGCACAGGGAGATCAGCTCGGTGCTTTGTGACCACCTACAGGGGTGGGATAGGGAGTGTGGGAGGGAGGGAGACACAAGAGGGAAGAGATATGGGGACATATGTATATGTATAACTGATTCACTTTGTTATAAAGCAGAAACTAACACACCATTGTAAAGCAATTATACTCCAATAAAGATGTTTTTTTTAAACAAAAAGAGAGGATGGGGTTTTCAAATAATGTTAGTTTAGTTTTCCTGAAAATATTTAGTAGTAATGATTTTTTTTCTATAGCATTTTACGCTTCTCAAAGCAATTATACCAATCATGTGAGGAAGAGCAAATTTTATTGCCCATTATGTAGATGACACAACTGAGGCATAGATATTTTAAGTTCTCGAGATCCCACATCTATATCGAATTCACAGCTCCACCCACTGCTTTTTCTACTACGTCATGCTGAAAAATTCCAGACTCCGGTATAAGGTCCTATAAAACCCCAAAGAGTTATCAGAGTGTACACTATTCAAGAAGCCTAAGTCAGTAGCACAAAAGAAGGAAAACGAAGTATGACAAGGAGGATGTTCCTCTGCTTTAGGCTATTAAGTAGGTCACCCACTAAGAGGCTATTTTGGTTTAAAATTTTAGAGGGCATGTAGTACATACACCAGCATCACTGACCTGATTCTTCACTTTCAAGATCTAAGAAAATCAGATAGTTTTTTTTTCTTTTGGAAGGGAGGGGTGTATCATTTGGGGAGCTTAAGAGAATGTTAGTTGGGAAATTTGATTTAGCCAGGCTAGTGCTCTAGATTTTTTGTGAGGTTGATTCACTAGAGATGGGGACAGCTTTGTATCTCTGTGATGCAGAGTCAGTGCTTCCCTTCCTTCCTTCTTTCCTTCCTTCCTTCCTTCCTTCCTTCCTTCCTTCCTTCCTTCCTTCCTTCCTTCCTTCCTTCCTTCCTCCCTTCCTCCTCCCTCCCTCCCTCCCTCCCTCCCTCCCTTCCTTCCTTCCTTCCTCATTCTTCTTCTCTCCCATCCCCTCCCTTCACTTTTCTTACTGCTGTTTTTTTTTTGTATTCTTTTCTTATGGGGGCATATCTGACAAATTGTTAATATTTAATTTGCTATAAAACAGCTCTCCCAAGCAATGGCTGCTCACTGTAATTTCAATCTCTGAAGCTGTTTTGGCTCCTAGGTACACTGGGATCGAATTAGAATGGAAATGTTTCCCTTACAGTTTTGTTTATGGCAGCATAGGCACTTTGTTATTAATTGGCAAACTGAGACTTCTAAGGAAAATAATAAACTTTCACCACATTTCTATTTGACTCTTTACTCCGAACAGAATATCCATCTGGCTTAGGGTAAAGCAACTCTTCTAATATGTTTCAGTCTTAAATTTAAATATCCAAGATTAATAATGAATATATTTTGATCCATTGAATTGTATTTTTCCCCAGTCTGGTGCTTTTTCACTTTTTTTCACATTTTAAAAACCATAAACATTTTTTTCTCATATGCCATCTTACTTTAAAAATGGTCTGCAAGTATATATATACATATTCCCATTCATTCTCTCTTGCTCTCTCTTTCAAACCAGAGGGATAGTCTTCAAAAATACCCACAAATTCAGACCTAGTGAATACTGCTCTGATACTTTGCAACTAGGCCCCTGAAACAAAAACCCTACCCTTCTGCCCTGCCTAATCCCTTGTCTGTTCCTTGCTGGGAGGGAGGTGTCGAAAGGAAGGGGTTTGTTTGAAATAGACAGCTATCTATGAAACAGAGGTGTGAAAGGGTGTGTTTATCTGATAAGTAGCATTAAATTGCAGAGACTACCAGATTAATCATGGTATGCAATTTTCAACAGCTTAGATTTTCTTTTATTTCTCTCTCTCCTTTTCTGCAGCCACTGGGGAGGAAAAAAGGATTAGAGAGACTATCAAAACTGTTGGCAAGTTTAGTCTGTTGGCTACTTAATTTATTAGCAGATATGGGAACTGCCTCAGGTTGATGATTTAACAGGTTGGCTGGGCGTGGAATAAATCTCAAACGTACCTGTTCCAAAATTGTGTTAATCCTTTCAACTTCGCAGTCAATCAAGTATCGCTTTTCCTGCCTCCTGTCCATTTCTTCAATGATGCGCCTGAATTCTTGGACGTCCTTTATGTTTCCCACAGACCTTGCTGTCACTTGCCAGTTGTTTTGCACTGCTGCTTCCATAATCGCTTGGAGGATGGAAAATCCTGAACGAAGGGAAGACAGCTACATTGATTATTTTTTCTTTTAAAAATCTTTCCATAGGTATTAAAGGTTCTACTGAGTTTTTATGCGCAGTCTATTGGGTCCCCTTGGACCTTATCCACTGTGGACAGCAGGCTTACTCATAACCTCAGCCTTAGTAACTTCCAGACAGTTGGCATCTCTATCCTGATTGAAAGGAAAGAAGATTCTTCAACTTGTGGGCACCGGGCTAGGTGTTTATCAAGCCTGTACTTAAGCAATCACAACTGAATTATAGTACCTAATTGTTTTCATTGACAGGCATTATCAAAATATTTATGGAATGAATGCCAGTAGCTTCTTTCTTATTTCTGGCCACAATCTGTCCTATTGCGATTGAAGCTCATTTCTTCCATCTTCACAACAACAATATTCAGAATTAGAAATAGCTTTAGTAGAGATAGAACCTGATTATTATATGACTTATCCTTACATGGATATGACTATCCAACAAGGTAAATTATGTCTCCCAAGCAACATAACTCTCAGAAAACCTGACAAGAACAGTCTATAACAAAGGTATCATACGGTTTCTTTGTTTACAGTACTATGAAAAAGTTCAATCATATTAAGTCTTCCTAAGTTCTTCCCCTTTCTCAATTCATTTGATTAGAGATTCTTGGTTCCTTATTAGTTAATTTATATCAGACAGCTATTAACTACTAACACTCTGGATCTGTGCTGCATGGGAAAGAGAAAAGATCTGATACTTGAGTTTTGGGTAAACTTTTTGGAGTCAGGGTTTGAGAAGTTGGAAAGAACAGTATATCTGTATGAACCACAAAAGAGCACAAGGATTTCGTATGTACTGGTCTTTTAGTGTATTCATGTCTCTTATATTACATCATGTCTATATTTTTGCTTCTGGTATGAATTCATAATCCGAGTATAGTTTCATCAGGTATAGACATCATTTTATTGGGATATGGTCAAAAGCAGCTCCTTTTGCCCCATTAAATTTAAATTGTTTTCCATTTGTATTTAGGGTAATGACTAATGGGAGTGGGTAATGCGGATGCTTTCCAAGACCAAAATGATCTGTGGCCTAATAATTTGACTACTGGAGGAGTAGCGAATGGAGGATGATTGTGCTGCCCTCTGAACACTTTGCAGGTTCTGTGCCACCTCAGGCTCACCCTGTACTTTAAGCAGATTATGGTTGGGAATCTTCTTCACTGCACCATAGAAAATGGTATTGACATTTGGAGAACACGCTTCGGGGAGATGGCAGCAGTGACTCAGCCAGTCATTACGACTCCTCTGTGTGCTGGGTGTATGCAGGAAGAAGATCACAAATGAGACCCAAGCACTTGGTAATTTCCAAATGAGCAATTTCAGCATAGGAGCTCAAAATTACAGATCAGAGTAAATTACCATTGCTTTAAATGTTAATTCTTACTCTTTTCAAACCAACCACACATACTTATTTCTCAGATTTACATTTTTTGTGTGGGTTTTCAAGGTGCTATCTGCTTCAGTGGGAGTTGAAGGCACATGGTGTGCCAAAGCATGAGATTAAGAAATAAACATAGGAAGGAAAAGATTAAAGTATTTGAAAATCTTTCTTCAGAAATGTGCAATGAGGCCTCATTATTTTGAATCCCAGTAATTAAGAATTTATGAAAATTCAGCAAGGACTAGGTTGAATTTTACTTCTATTTATGAAGAAAGCATTGGCTGAATAATACTGGTAATGAAATCACACAGGGCATCTTTGCTATATTTAAACTGAACTTTAAAAAATACCCTTTAGGAGGACCTTCAAGATGGCGGAGGAGTAAGACTTGGAGATCACCTTCCTCCTCACAAATACGTCAAAAATACATCTACATGTGGAACAACTCCTACAGAAAATCTACAGAACGCTGGCAGAAGACCTCAGACTTCCCAAAAGCCATGTGGCTGACAGGGTCTTGATGCTCTGGCCAGGTGTCAGGCCTGAGCCTCTGAGGTGGGAGAGCTGAATTCAGGATATAGGAACACCAGAGACATCCTGGCCCCACGTAATATCAATTGGCTAGAGCTCTCCCAGAGATCTCCGACTCAACGCTAAGACCCAGTCCACTCAACGACCAGCAAGCTCCAGTGCTGGGCACCCTAGGCCAAACAACTAGCAAGACAGGAACACAACCCCACCCATTAGCAGAGAGGCTGCCTAAAAGCATAATAAGGTCACAGACACCACTAAACAAACCACACGATGTGGTCCTGCCCACCAGAAAGACAAGAAAAAGCCTCATCCACCAGAGCACAGGCACCAGTCCCCTCCACCAGGAAGCCTACACAACCCACTAAACCAACCTTACCCACTGGGGGCAGACAGCAAAAACAACGGGAACTACAAACCTGCAGCCTGCAAAAAGGAGACCCCAAACACAGTAAGTTAAGCAAAATGAGAAGACAGAGAAACACACAGTAGATGAAGAAGCAAGGTAGAAACCCACCAGACCTAACAAATGAAGAGGAAATAGGCAGTCTACCTGAAAAAGAATTCAGAATAATGATAGTAAAGATGATCCAAAATCTTGGAAATAGAATGGAGAAAATGCAAGAAATGTTTAAAAAGGACCTCAAGAACTAAGGTGCAAACAAACAATGATGAACAACACAATACATGAAATTAAAAATATTCTAGAAGGAATCAATAGAAGAATAACTGAGGCAGAAGAACGGATAAGTGGCCTGGAATATAAAATAGTGGAAATAACTGCTGCAGGGCAGAATAAAGAAAAAAGAATGAAAAGAATTGAGGACAGTCTCGGAGACTTCTGGGACAACATTAAATGCACCAACATTCAAATTAAAGGGGTCCCAGAAGAAGAAGAGAAAAAGAAAGGGTCTGAGAAAATATTTGAAGAGATTATAATTGAAAACTTCCCTAATGTGGGAAAGGAAATAGTCAATCAAGTCCAGGCAGCACAGAGAGTCCCATACAGGATAAATCCAAGGAGAAACACGCTAAGACACATATTAATCAAACTATCAAAAATTAAATACAAAGAAAAAAATATTAAAAGCAGCAAGGGAAAAACAACAAATAACACACAAGGAAATCCCCATAAGGTTAACAGCTGATCTTTCAGCAGAAACTCTGCAAGCCAGAAGGGAGTGGCAGGACATATTTAAAGTGATGAAAGGGAAAAACCTACAACCAAGATTACTCTACCCAGCAAGGATCTCGTTCAGATTCAATGGAGAAATTAAAAACTTTACAGACAAGCAAAAGCTAAGAGAATTCAGCACCACCAAACCAGCTTTACAACAAATGCTAAAGGGACTTCTCTAGGCAGGAAACACAAGAGAAGGAAAAGACCTACAGTAACAAACCCAAAACAATTAAGAAAATGGTCACAGGAACATAGTATCGATAATTACTGTAAATGTAAATGGATTAAATGCTCGCACAAAAGACATAGACTGGCTGAATGGATACAAAAACAAGACCCGTATACATCCTGTATACAAGAGACCGACTTCAGACCTAGGGACACAAACAGACTGAAAGTGAGGGGATGGAAAACGATATTCCATGCAAGTGGAAATCAAAAGAAAGCTGGAGTAGCAATTCTCATATCGGACAAAATAGGCTTTAAAATAAAGACTATTACAAGAGACAAAGAAGGACATACATAATGATCAAGGGATCAATCCAAGAAGAAGATATAACAACTGTACATATTTATGCACCTAACATAGGAGCACCTCAATACATAAGGAAAATGCTAACAGCCATAAAAGGGGAAATTGACAGTAACACAACAATACTAGGAGATTTTAACACCCCACTTTCACCAATAGACAGATCAACCAAAATGAAAATAAGTAAGGAAACACGAGGTTTAAATGATACATTAAACAAGATGGCCTAAATTGATATTTATAGGAAATTCCATGCAAAAACAACAGAACACACTTTCTTCTCATGTGTTCATGGAATATTCTCCAGGATAGGTCATATCTTGGGTCACAAATCAAGCCTTGGTAAATTTAAGAAAACTGAAATCGTATCAGGTATCTTTTCCGACAACAACGCTATGAGACTAGATATCAGTTACAGGAAAAAAACTGTAAAAAAATACAAACACGTGGGGGCTAAACAATATGCTACTAAATAACCAAGAGATCACTGAAGAAATCAAAGAGAAAATGAAAAAATACCTCGAAACAAATGACAATGAAAACATGACAGCCCCAAACCTATGGGACAGAGCAAAAGCAGTTCTAAGAGGGAAGTTTATAGCAATACAATCCTACCTCAAGAAACAAGAAACGTGTCAAATAAACAACCTAACCTTACACCTAAAGCAATTAGAGAAAGAAGAATGAAAAAAACCCCGAAGTTAGCAGAAGGAAAGAAATAATAAAGACTAGATCAGAAATAAATGAAAAAGAAATCAAGGAAACAATAGCAAAGATCAATAAAACTAAAACCTGGTTCTTTGAGAACATAAACAAAATTGATAAGCCATTAGCCAGACTCTTCAAGAAAAGAGTCTGGCTTCAAGAAAAGGGAGAAGACTGAAATCGAAAGAATTAGACATGAAAAAAGAGAAGTAACAACTGACAGTGCAGAAATACAAAGGATCATGTGAGATTACTACAAGCTACTCTATGCCAATAAAATGGACAACCTGGAAGAAATGGACAAATTCTTAGGAAAGCACAACCTTCCAAGACTGAACTAGGAAGAAATAGAAAATATAAACAGACCAATCACAAGCACTGAAATTGAGACTGTGATTAAACACCTTCCAACAAACAAAAGCCCAGGACCAGATGGCTTCACAGGCGAATTCTATCAAACATTTACAGAAGAGCTAACACCTAGCCTTCTCAAAATCTTCCAAAATATAGTAGAGGGAGGAACACCCCCAAACTCATTCTACGAGGCCACCATCACCCTGATGCCAAAACCAGACAAAGATGTCACAAAGAACGAAAACTACAGGCCAAGATCTCTGAT